TCTGACACTTTTTCGGTGTGCTTTTTTTCTGCATTGAGAAAAACACACCAGAGGCCCAGAAAGCACAAAGTGGGAGTGTTAAAAAGATTGGTTTTTGATAGCCGTATCAATTGTTGCTGAATGTCACACAGAATTGGTGTCAGACCAGTGATTGTGTATAGATGTAGCATTATCTCTGACTCTTCTTGTGCTAATCTTTCCTTGCCAGCATAATTCTATTGGAGGCCAAGATGCAGCCCCATATGTTGTCTGTGTTTCCTTCATGATAAAAATGTTGATTAGACTTGTTGTTTCAGGGTTGTATCCTAGGACAGATGTGGTTTGTGCTGTTAGCTACATGTGCCAACACTTCCATCTTATGCTACATTCAGTAAAGATGAGGGCTCAAGCCAACACTTATTTTCATTACAACATCACCTGCCAATTATTTTTCTCAGTTAACTGATTAATAATTTTGCCTGTACAACATCAGAAAAGCTGAAGCCAGGGATTACTTGGCATTTGTACCTCTAAAATGACTAAAGCGATTATTCACTTGATTAACAGATTAACCAGCTAACGGTTGCAGCTGTAACTCATCTAGACAAAAGATTGCTTTGTGCTGCACTTTTAGGCTTACATTATAATTGACAGGTGGTCCACACATAATAAACACAGAACTGCTTCATTTAGAATTGAATGAAATAACAGTTGCTGTTGCACTAGAATTTGGTTTATCCATCTGTTAGGCTGTACCTGTTTCTGCTTGAGACCCAAGTCATTGATTTTATTTGTTGTTACAAGGTCACTGGGATTTACACAAGCCTGTTATTTACATTCAGTTTTTTTGCTAAATGTACAAAGTTTGATACAAACTACGACCCCACATCAGAGGTTTGGGAGGTATGTAAAATCAAAACTTCAAGTAGTGAGGTGTAAGTCATCTGTGTCCTGTATCACACTGAAAACAACACAGCAACACATTATTTGATGTGACACCTCATCAACTTTATTCTTTGTTGGAAATAAACACTCACTTCAATCCTGATGCTGCAACACATTCCAAACAAAGTTGGGACAGTGAAGCATTTACTGCAGTGTGATGCTGTTGTTCCTTTTCACAACACTTAAAAAACATTTAGGGACTGAGGACACCAAGTGATTAAATGTGTCAGGTGTCATTTTGTCCCACACATTCTCTGTTGGGGACAGGTGGGGACTGCAGACAAGCCAGTTCAGCTCTCACACCCTTTTCCTCCACAGCCAGGCCTTGGTAATGTGCACTATGAGGTTTTGCATTGTCTTGTTTAAATATGCATGGATGTCCCTGCAAAAGATGTCGTCTTGAAAGCAGCAGATGTTGCTCCAAAATCTCTGTGTCTTGTTCAGCATTAATGGCGCCATCACAGCAGTGTGTGTCACCTTGGCCAAGGGCACTGACACAACCCCAGACCATGATAGACCCTGGCTTTTGGTCTTATCGCTGCTAACAGTCTGGATGGTCCTTTTCATCATTGACCCAGAGCACACGGCGCCCATTCCTTCCAAAAAATACCTGAAATACTGATTTGTCTGAGCACAGTGCACATTTCCACTGTGTGATGGTCCATCCCACAGGTGTGCCAAAGTGGATAATATTGTTTATAGCAGGGTGATGGTTCTTGGTGCCATCTGAGGTATCAGAGAGCTCGGTCTTCCAGCTTAGGGTTGCGCCCTTTACACACAGATTCCTTATATCTTTTAGTTACGTTCTGCACCGTAGAGGGTGACATATCCAAATCCCTCCTATCTTTCTTTGAGGAACATTGTCTTTAAACATTTCAATAATTTTCTCACACATATGTTGGCAAACTGGCGGTCCTTGGCCCATCTTTGCTCCTAAAGGACTCGGCCTTTCCTGGATGCCACAGTTGTACCAAATCATGATGCAGTCACCTGTTTCATTACTGGCCCTGAAATGCAACCGTCCCAACCTTTTTTTGGAATGTGTTGCAAGCATCAGAACTGAAGTGAGTGTTTTATGATTTGAGGTTGTATGAAAGGGAAAACATCTGCTTTAGTTGCTGCATTTTACACTTGAACCAGTATTTGCCTAACACTGCTTTAAAGCATGGTGTCCCAGTCTTATTGTGTAACTCTCTGCAGAGACAGGTCATTCATAACTTTCAGTGTCATGTGGGATTTTAGATATTGCATGCCTTAATTCAGCTGCGTCCTCTGTGATGCATAACGAAGCCTTTTCCCCCCTTCATTCTTGCTTTGCTAATCCATCATTACAACAATAGCAGAGCACTGCCACGCTTTGCTGCATGGCGTTTCAGACAACATCAGCATCAACAGTCCAAGTCATCACTGCTGGCTGCAAACGTGTCCATGTGTGTTTAGGCACATGCTTATGCATTGGCAGGTGCTCTCATAGGTGCTTATGCCAGTGCAGCTACAATATAAATGCTGGTGCGTTACTGAGAGCTTGGCACTAGGGGACAGTGAAAACACCAGGAGAATAATGACAGGTTTATAATTACAGAAACTAGCGTTGAGCACTACTCAGCAACAACTGTCTGGGGAAGGCAATCTGAGGGTAATTTCTGCTGATCAGGCCTGCCACACACTTAAAGGTCACACAATACATATGCCAAAATACCCACACGCACGTACACACACTGTATATATACAGTATATGCACATGCACACAGGTGTGCATGCACCTTCTCTGCAGATGTTGCTCATTTGGAAAACCCACACACAGACAGTACACAGAAGGACAAAATGTCTCACACTAAAATTTCACTGAAAATTGGGGTGCAGCAGCAAATTGACCGGTTAATTAGCGAGAGCTAAAAGCATCAAGTATGCACCTGATTCACTGAGAAATGAGTGCATTACAGCACAGAACACAGCAGAGATGTCTGCTGCATGGAATGAAGTCACTGGTTCAATATGCAGACAAGACAAAACATGAGTAGAACAATGTTACAGATATAAGCAGACAAAAACAAAACACAATTTTTGTTATTGCTCAGCTTGAATCTAAAGTAAAACAAAACAAGTGAGAAATCTTGGTGTTAATTGACTCGGATCTGAGCTTCACAGTCACATCAAGGCCATAACTAAAGCAGCATTTTATCATCTGAAACAAAGAGAGCGCCATATGGACGACATAGTTTTATAGGCCAACCAGAAGGTCAGCATCACCCTGGTTCCCTCAACAAAAAAAACTATGGGATATTTCCATAGCCTTTTGGATTATTGCAGAAAACTAGCTCTATGACAAACAGCGGTGTATGACACATGTTTTGTTCAGTAAGATCATCATGACAAGTGAAAACCACTTTGTGATTTCTGAAGCTCTTTTACAAACTCCTTTCCTCTTAGCGTGACCTGATCTAGCTAGTGATCACGGCTGTGTTCGTTATAATAGTTTGCAAGTGCACGAGTGTAAACATGGACTAGTGAGTCTCTGTTCAGCATGATAGTGTGTAACATCCCCAACAGCCTCTGTAGCCTCTGTAGTCTCATTTAGCCACTTAGGCTAAACCAACTTTTTAAGACATGCAAAGTCACAGGTGGGGTGTTTACTGAGCTTTTATTTCATAGAACAAAATGTGAAGCTGTATTGTGTTAACCACAGACTTTATTTCAGGCCTCTAACCAAAGACCCATTCAAAAAACCCACTGACTTCAGGGCGAGGGAAGCAGAAGCAAAAAAATGCTCAGTTCCAGGTTTTAGGGTCGGTACTACGGCTCTCTATATTCATTCATCTTCTACCGTTTAATCCCAGAACAGGGTCAGGAGCCAATCCCGGCTGGCAATCTGGTGAAGGCAGGGTACACCCCAGACAGGTCGCCAATCCATCGCAGGGCTAACACATAGACGAACAACCACACACACTCCTATGGGCAATTTAGAGACACCAATCAACCTAAGCTGCATGTCTTTGGACTGTGGGAGGAAGCCGGAGTCCCCGGAGAGAACCCACGCAAGCACGGGGAGAACATGCAAACTCCACACAGAAAGGTCCCGGGTGGGGCCCAAACCCAGAGCCTTCTTGCTGTGAGGCAATGGTGCTAACCACTGCATCACCGTGCTGCCATTGTTTTCACGCTGCTAATGTTTTCCTTTGCAATGTAAAGCACTTACAGTATATATAAATACATCTGCCTTGTCAAGCTCCCTTTTAATTTAACTTTTCCACAGCTGTTTAGAAAAGCTTGTTGAAACTTTGAACTTAATCTGCTGCAGAAAGTTCATACTCTAACCTTTGATTATAACTTTTTAGTTGAAATAACAGAGAATTTAATTATAAAGACAAGGTCTCATATTATATACAGGCTGTTCCTTCTTCCAATCTTGTTTTTTGGGCAAGCTGTTTCAGTGTGTTCTATAACCGCATTAGCTTTTGTTCTTTAGGTTTTATTTTCCATTTACAGTCGATGTTATCTAACATCAGTGTTATATCCGAGAACTTTTTAATGGTTGCTGTTTTGTGCTACAATTTCCTCAGCAACACTAAAATGTACAACTTGGTTATCTACAGTGCTTTGATTATTAATGGCTTCCTGCCTTTGTAAGACTACATCATTTGTCAGTCAAGCCTTCTGTGCAGCCTGTCGCTCTTTGCAAAGTTAAATCCATTAGCTATATGTCAAATTGAATGGACCCAGTTTGAACAGGATTATTGTACAGGGCCCAGCATCCTGACCGAGTACAAACTGTACTGTTTTGTCTGTCTCAATTATAATCCTGGAATGAACATGGTTCTGTGTTTCTCAGAGTCAAACACACACATTCATCTATCCAGAGCCAAGATGCTTTCATTTTCATTTTTATTTCAGATCTAGTTTATTTTAGACTTAACACAGATGTTACATAAACTACTAATAAGCTCAATATGACTTCTTGTTTCTCCAGAGCCAAGATGCTTTCATTTTCATTCTTATTTCAGATCTAGTTTATTTTAGATTTAACACAGATGTTACATAAACTACTACTAAGCTTAATATGATTTCTTGTTTCCTAGGTGTGTTTGTAACATCGACTGTTCCCACATCAGCTTCAACCCGGTGTGTGCCTCAGATGGCCATTCCTATGACAACCCCTGCCAGGTGAAGGAGGCGTCCTGTCAGAAACAGGAACGCATCGAGGTCAAGTACCTGGGCCACTGCCAAGGTCAGACACACACACACACACACCGCTGAAGCTGTCAGTCTGTCTGCCCGAGCAGGTGTTCACTTGTTGAAGTGAGGCCTTGAGGTCAAATGAGGCAGCTTGCAGAGCTAAATGCAGACAGTGTGATTCTCTATCTCCCTTGAGCTACACTTCCAACCACATTTCATAATTAAAGATAGTTTCATATGATCATATTTTGTAATTGTTTGCAAAGATAATCCTCAAAACACAATTTTACTAAATGGTAATCCCTCCTTTTTAGTATACTGTCTGTATTTTTATAATGGTTCCAGGAATGAAGTTATTTCATTAATCCATTTGGTTAAATCCATAAACTGACTCATGTTGCTAATCCATGTGGGAGGAGACAAAGCCACATTAGCATTCTTATTTTAAATATACATATATTATTTTATTTACATCTTGATTTCTCCTGAATTCAATTCATTTTGCTTTAAGATTTGGCTGAAACTGTTATCAGGTGTAAATATTTATCCACAGTCAGTTCAAATGACACTTTTTATTATTATTAGCGCTTTAATTTGTGTCTGGGAACATGTGAAAGCATTTGATTGGCTCTGCATCCACACAGGACAAACAGGCCAATAGATGGAGAACGCCGACATGAAATATTTGAGAAGTAATGGGGAGTAAAGCAATCAGGGCTAACCAGCTCTGAGAGCACAAATACAAGGCTTTATTCCCCAATGTTACATCCAGAGCATCAGAGCACCCTGATTGATTCGATCATGCTCCCACACATTCGGTGGAGAGAGAAAAAATGTCATGAAACTCTGTTATGAAACTGAGAGATTTAGAATCCTCATGTTAACCAGGATCCAGAGAGACACCTTGACATTTAGATGGCTGGTTTCTAATATTTCTATTTCTTCCCACTTGTCATATTATTTGGAAACAGGTTTTTCTGGAACTAGTCCTTTCGTTTGATATAGTTCATACCGGTCTAGAACAACAAGAAGTACTGGTAACCTTGCTTAAGATGCTCAGAGAACCAGGTGTTGCATCATCAAGAGGTTGTCACAGATGTGTAGAGCTGGAAAAGAAGTTAGAGAGAAGGAAACGTTCTTATAGGTGCAATCTGTTTAGTTTGTAGCAGCCCCTCTCTGAGCAGTGTTAAAGTTCATTCAGTTCTTCAGTTGAATATCAAACACACACAGCTCCAGGTTCTGACCACATTTTATGCCATAATTCTTGCATCATAAAGCCAGAGACTTTCAGAGACTTGGTTTTGGGGAATAAATTCTCTGACCACTGAAAAAGAATCAATAGCAATAAAATGATTATGATTGGAAGGAGGTTTTGTCTCACCACTGTGCAAAGAGGAATTCAATGCTGTGTCAATAAGGTGAGCAAAATGTGTTATTCCCTGTGATCTTTTCTACCCAGCTCCATTCTACCCTCTGTTCAGTATAATACGTTAGAGGAAATGCCTTCTGACATTTGTACACATTACCTAGACAGGTGCACACACCACATGAACCCTTTCTGGAGATGATGACATGCATTCAACCGTCTCTACCTGCTGTGGCATTAGTTTGAATGTGTAACTCCTAATGGAGGGGGCCGGCGCTGCAGGAGTGGTTGTACTGACCTGAGATCAGCTTTAATGTGTCTTTGGCCTTTCCAGGAGACATCATAACTGGGAACAAAGGCGGAGATGGGCACTTTGCGCGGACTGACCTCACAGGTGAGTGACTGTGAAATGGTGATCGATTGCCAAATAACATGTCAACCCAGCCCTGACTCTCTTCGGTTCAGCTCTATTTGTCCTGTTACTGTTGCACTTCCATCCTATGTTTTTATCTTGTATTGTTCATCTCGTCCTCTGTATGTGTACAAGCAGCTATGAGCATATGTGCATTCAGTGTTTATTATCTATTTTGTGTGTTTGTGTTTACACAGTAGAGGAAAATGAGGACCCGAGGAATGAGCTGGCCCGTGGCCTGTACATCCCCTGTCCAGATAACTACAAAAACTACTGCATCCACGGAGAGTGTCAGTTCCCCAGTATACTGGCCCAGCCTTCCTGCAGGTACACACACATATACAGTAATACTTCACTTGTGAGGACTAGGGACTGGCAGGGACAGACGGAGCAGAAAACAATACTGCAGATTGATATTACAAACACATTTGGGGATTTTTTGTCTTTTAATAGAAGCTGGAGAGTAGAGAGTTGATAGGAAACTGGGGAGTGTGGGGGTGACATGCAACAATTGCTGCATAGTCCTTGAACTGAAATGGAACAGGGGGCATTGCTGTCATGTCCCATAACCTCCAGAACATATTTCTCAGTAGGTAATGTCAAAATATTTAGAGATCAGGTTGTGACATTTGTACTAAAAGGTAACAAAATATTATTTCCTAAATATAGTGTAATTTTAGCATTATACATTGAGTTGGGACCATGGACATCATGTCACCACTATGCAGAAGTGAAGCCAAGATCAAGTGCCGTGAATACAGCAGCTGCCATCTTGTAGCCAGATTCTGTGCAGTAGCAATCGAGTGACGGCCACAGCTGTCAAATCAACCGAAATACACCTCATTTTATATCATTCAAAATCTATTTTAAACAGACTTACCACAAAAGGAACCACTTGTACACACATCAGTGTGATAATATCTACCATAAATGACAGAAGTGAACTCTGGGAAAAATGTATTTGATTTGTACTTTGATTCGTATCCCATCCACTAACATGGAGGAGACGGGACTATTGATTATTACTGTAATTCATAATGAATAGCTAGCAATCAATAGTTATACTTACCATAGCTGTTAGGAGCTACAGTGTTTTTGTAGTGTACTGTAACTCTGATGTATAGCTAGTGACAAACCCTGCATGAAGCAGGGGAACTCAGGCCAGTTCTATCTTGGTGCACACATTTGATGGTCTCACTGCATAATCTGCAGCCATGGACAGAAAGTGTATAATAAGATGGGTAATCAGTTGTAACATTTTAGCAATTACTAGGTAAATGCTGCAGCCCATTTCTTTTTTTAATCAGGCTTGTTTATCTTGCATTAATACAAGCTTGTGTGTTGAGGGGTGGAATTGTTGGAGATCCCTCCTGCTGTAGTAGGAGGCCAATCAAATATGCTGCACTGCTTCAAATAAATCCAGTGTTGGATTTCTCTGTAATTAATGAAGATGTTGGTGTTTCCGTCCCCACAAATTATGATATTGTTTATGAATGTAGATTCAAAAAGACCCAAATGCAGACACCAGGCAGCGACTGAATGAGCAGAAACTAGGACTTGATTAACTTAAACACAGGTGAAGGTGCAGTCAACAAAGGAAGCACAAGAATAGGAGGTAACACAAGAAAAACTGACTGAACATAAAGGGAACTAACCCAAGATAACAATATTATATGCAAACAGAGACCAGCTCAAACCCGACTACACCGACACTGAAGCTACAAAGGTATACAACCATAAGGCCAGGGAGCAGAACAAATGACATGACCAACCAGCATTACAAGAAGACTAACAGACTAAGTGAACAAGGAATATAACAAACCAGATAGAAAGGGTGGAAAAGAGAGTTCACACAAATCAGAATCCATAAAACGATGAATGGGGCTTAAGGGCCTGAAACGAAATGGGGGAAAACTGAGAGCAGGAAATCAAAGGCTGGATAGTCTCTGGAGAGGTGATCACAGGTGAGCTAACTCGGGCGAGCTCGTGAAGACTGAATGCTAGTGAAAGGCTAAAATACTGGCTGATGGGAAACAGGTGCAAGTAGCTAAAGCTGGGGCAGGTAAAGCTGGCACAGAGAGGGTGGATGGGGAAGCAGAAGAGTACCAGAATAAGAGTCCAGAACAGGAAGTGCTCGTGACACTCACAGAGAATGATCACTGTAGTCTGTAGTTTTCTTTTTAGCATTTTTTTTTTTTACAGCCTCACTGCTTTCATGTGCATCGTTTACATTAGTGACTAGCCGTTGAACACGGTGGAGCATTCAGCAGCTAAAGAGCCAAAACAGAACTAAAAGAGAGTGAACACTGGACTTTATTAGGTGACCAGAAACTTGATTTTAGTGCCTGCTGA